TTTCAATAGAAATCACTGATATTCAGAGAGCTTTGACAGCTTCCGTCAAATTGCATTTCGATGAGGTATTTTCCCATTGGTCTAGGGGACCGTTAAATATTAATGTTGGTGAAATTGGCCCTAAGCCAACCTATTTGCTTATTCCGTATGACATTGTGATGCAGTCGCTAAAATACAGTGAAAAACTATACGTACATTCGTGACGTCCTCCAGCCTAAGCAAGAAAAGGGTTTCTGTTCTAGCCGAGCATTGGTATCTCCGTCTTCGTATACATTTTCTCGACTCATTCACCATAAATTCAACTCATTCGACGCGCATAACGATGATTCTTGGGAAAACGGTTTTAGCGGCTCCATAAAGAGACAAACGCTAATCCTTGGTACTTACCAGTCCCGCGCACATTTAACACAACATGATAGAGCTGGGTCGAATAGATCCTATTCATGATTCCGTGACTAGATTCTATAGTATCGATATCTTCATTCATTGATCTATAGTCAACGCCAAACAAAGTGGCGTGCACGTCATCACGATAAAAATTCCCCGACCTAATGCCTAGGTTTCTATCACAAACAATTGCTCTATTGCAGTTTCATATTAATGTGATATATAAATTGTAAAATGGTCATTACTCTCTTATTATGGTTAATAGTCATATAAACATTGTTATTAAAATATCACATAAGTTGCTTTCTGATAAATTTAGACGCATTATGCGAAATAAAATGTTTTGCAAACGCTCCAATCACTTATCGACATGTAAACGCACTAAACCGATTTCGCAGCGTTGACACATTGTCACCTTGAAACTTATTTAAACTGGGAACTGACATTTGTATTAATTTTGACACTGAATCAATTTGTGGCATTTCAAATCTTTATAAATCCTTTGGCCCCGCATACTGTAAATCAACAACTGTTTGTTTCAAAACAAAATTATTCATTTTACGAGTAGATAAAGGCAATTTTGGTATATAAAGATGCCCAAACAGTTAAATAGTCGGTGTAAGGAACTCGTGGCCTCGTTAATGCACTACTTTGAGCAAGAAAGGGACAACAACGGGCCTTTGTTGCCTTTAAATGCTGTTCAAGAGGTAGGTTACTAATAATTATATGTAATGTATATTAATAATAGTGAAATTTTATTTCATTTTTTGTAGCTGCTGCTTTAAAAATTAGTTTAAGGACAGTTAGTCGTATTTCCGAGGGTGTGAAAAGTGATGCAAATTTAGAATCGCCCAAGAAAAAGCGGAGTTATATTAAACGTGTAACCAACACAGCGACATTGGATACAAGTGCCATTCGAGAAGTGATCTATAATATGTATCACAAAAGTAAGATCTTATTATAATAACTTATCAGAAATTTGCATTAATTTGTTAACTAAATTATAATGTCATATTACACATGGTTTCAGAAGAACAAGTTACGATACAAACTTTATGGTCTCGATTAAGAGATAGGGCATTATTTGATGGTAGTGCCACGTCTTTAAGGCGGTTGCTTAGAGATCTTGGATTTAAGTGGCTTAAGGACAATCCGCGACGAGGGCTCATGGAACTACCAAGTATAGCTTTGAAAAGGGTGGAATTTCTAAGGCAATACAATCAAGCCAAGGTTGAGGCCTTATACCAGTTTGTCTTCCTCGATGAAACTTGGATATTTCAAAATGGGACCATAGGTCGCTCTTGGCAAAATGGAAACCAAAAAAGCGTGAAAGCTATTAAAACAGATGGTAAAAGGTATGTACTTTTACACAATTTGCACTATAAAATTTAAAACTAATATATTTTAGATACATTATATTACATGCTGGAAATGAAAATGGGTTTATTGAGGGTAGTGAAGCGATATTTTCTTCGAAAACAAAATTGAGCGATTACCATGGAGAGATGAACCAGGACAATTTTTTGAAATGGTTTCAACATCAGTTATTAGAAAAATTGGAAAGTCCATCTATGATTATACTGGATAACGCCCCTTATCACAGCATGATATTGAACAAAGTGCCCAACAATGCATGGACAAAAAAAAAATATCCAAGACTGGTTGACAAATCAAAACATACCATTTTTAAACACAATGTTTAAAACAGAGCTATTGAGTATTGTTGCTCGGTACATAATGCTTCTTAATTATATATATTTTGGTCGACAGTTTATATTTCTTTTGTTTATTCCTATTCTTAAAATAACTGCTTTTTTAGAAACAAACCACCTAAAATATACGTGATTGATGAATTGGCGGAACAACATGGGCACAAAGTTCTTCGTCTGCCTCCTTACCATTGTATATTTAACCCTATTGAGTTAATTTGGGGCATAGCAAAAGGTTACTATAACAGACATATTGGTAGAGATGGTAACAGTGAAAAAGACTGTTTGGATATGTGGAACGAGGCTCTACAAACGGTTACCCCAGACATGTCGAAAAATAGTGTTCGACATACTGAGCAAGAAATTTTTAAATGGTATGAAAGAGAACGAATTTTTGATCGACCAGACATCGAACCTTTAATAATCAACTTTGAGAGTGATGAAGATTCAGATTCAGACAGCGCTGAAGAAAGAAACTCCGACTAACTTTATTGTACAGAAAAAGCTTACACCAGTAGCTTACCTAATTTTAGAATGCATTTTTCTGTATGAATTCTGTAAAATAAATACCATGCATAAAATTTGGAGGACCCCATTTGGATTTTTATTCAGTACCTTTAAGCTATCAATTAAATATGGTAGTTTCATAGTGTCATCTGATCAATAATTGTCATACTTAATGATTATGCAAGTACAGATCTATAATTTTATTATACTATTATTTTTGTTCTCATTTGAGGTTAATATTGCTTATAAACCTAGATATGTAAATAATAAATTTTATTATTTTACAAAAAGTTTGGCAACAATGTAAATTTTTCAACACACCCACCTTGATGACGTGCACGCCACTTTGTTTGGCGTTGACTATACATCAGGGCTGTCCAACTTAATGTGGCCCAAAGACCATTTAAAAAAAAATGCAGTTTGCATTATAAAATCTTTCTATACAACATTATTACTGAGTTTTAATAGGTATATACTATACTATATGGTATAGAAAAATAGTTTTTCTATTATTTTTATTTATGCAAAAAATATGAAATTACAAAAAAATCACTGGGACATTTGAGGATGTTGGTTTTCTAATACTAATGCATCAATATTAACATTAATATTTGTTGTTGATAAACGAAGTAACTGAGTAAGTGACTCATCAGAGAGGGAACATCTATACTTTGACTTGATAAATTTCGTGTTGGAAAACCTGCTTTCGCAAAGATACGTGCTTCCCATCATTGATCCCGTTGTAAGTCCTAAGTTTCGCAAGTTGGGGTATCGTTCTCCTGGCAGTAACTTAAAAAAGTCCAAGCGTGTTTCAATTCTTCCTTGGTAAAAAGGATCTAATTGCAAATCACACAATTCCAGTTGAAGGTCTGCTCTGCTTACGTTCTCAACAGAAATTGTTAGTGGCTGAGTAAAAAAACTGAAATGTCGCTTTCGATTTTTTTAAAGTCACTAAATCGATTTTTGAATCCTTCTGCAATCGAGTCAATGTATTTTATATGAGGTAAATATGACATATAAATCCCAGTTTAAATGGTTTTATTTTAATAAAAGTTGGTGAATGTATTTATCTTACTGTAAATAACAAGTGAAACAATTTTCAGCCTTATCAGTTGGACATTCCGGTTTTTATACTGCTTTTTTTTAATTCACTAACGCTCTAAAAATGAATATTTCAGCCGCAGTAAAAAATCAACGTTGGCGGATTTTGGTTCTGGACATCCTTTACGATCGGTTACGATGCCTAGAGTACGGAGACCTGTACGATTTCGTCAAGTTAGTGAGTTTGATAGGGGCCATATAGTGGGACTTCGGGAAGCTGGAATTTCTTTTCGGGCAATTGCAGTTAGAGTGCAAAAAAGTGTAGACACTGTGGTTAGGTGTTGTCAGGCATGGCTTCGAGAAGGCCGTACGCAAAGTGCAAGAGGCACTGGACGCCGCCGTAGAACAACAGACCGTGAAGATCGCCGCCTAAGATTATTGGCCTTAAGGGACCGTTTCTCCACTACCAGGTCCATTGCAAATGAATGGTTTGCAGAACACGGAAGACCTATTGGCATGCGAAGTGTTTACCGACGAATGAGAAGTTTTGGCTTGTTTTCATACCGGCCACACTGGGTCCTCCCTTTAACCCGAGAACTCCGACGTAATCGCCTTGAGTGGTGCAGACAACGGTCACTCTGGGATCAGGAATGGAACAGTATTGTCTTTAGTGACGAGTCTCGATTTTGTTTAGGCATGCACGATGGTCGTGCCAGGGTTAGAAGGCGACGTGGTGAAAGGAGGAATCCACAGTTTTTTGTTGAAAGACATGTTCATCACACTGTTGGAGTTATGGTTTGGTGTGCTATAGCTTATGGTTCCAGGTCACCTTTAATCTTCATCAGAGGTAACATGAACGCGCAGCGTTATATCCACGAAGTTCTAGAACCCCATCTTTTACCCTATCTTGACACCCTGGCAGATCCGACTTTCCAACAAGATAATGCCCGACCACATGTTGCAAGAGTCACAATAGACTTCTTTCAACATAATGATGTCACATTGTTACCACGGTCCGACTTATCCCCAATTGAGCACGTGTTGGATATGATGGGTAGGAGATTGCTCAATTTGCAACGTCCTCCTCAGACTCTAGAAGCACTTCGAGAGGAGTTGGTGGTTGCCTGGAATGAGATACCACAGGAGGACATTGACCACCTGATCAGAAGCATGCCTAGGCACGTTGGAGAATGTGTAGCAGATCAGGGTGCATCCACACATTATTAAAGGTCAAAGGGCTTTAAAGCAGTGCAATCATTTTGAAATTTTTATCATTTACTTATTATGCTTCATTAAGTACTAATACAAAATTTTATTAAAATAAAACCATTTAAACTGGGTGTTTGGATTTATATGTCACTTAGTATATGAAACTTCCTCAAAATCCTTCATTTCTTCGAAATGTTCATTACAACTTGGAAAAAATGAAAAATCATTTTTTTGTAATGAAGACCTGAAAAGCTTAATTTTATTCTTAAACCCATTTATGTGTCCAAATAAGTTGGCAATATTCTGCTGTTTTCCTTGTAGTGTCAAATTCAATTCGTTAAGGTGAGATGTCATGTCTGTTAAAAATGCAAGGTCGGCTAAAAATTGTGCATCTGCCATCTGATTTCCAGTTCCGTAGTGTCGGACTTCACTTCATTTTTAAGGAAAATAGGAATTTCCTTGCGTAGAGCGAAAAATCGTTGCAAACACTTTCCGGCGCCTAACCAAGGAACATCGGTGTGTAGTAACAAGTGCCCATATGTAGCATCCACTTCGGCCAAAAAACACGAAACTTTCTGTGAGTCAAAGCACGATTGCCCCCTCTAACAATATTAGTTATTTTAACAGCCACTTTCATGACATTTATTTGACGTAAAGATTTTCCACATAAGCTCTCTTGGTGAACAATACAATGTATCATAGGACAGTTGATGCTGTTTTGTTTCGTCTAACGTAGTGTAATGTCGTTTCATATTATATTCTTTAGGAACCGATAGTGCATGCATACAAACAATGCACTGAATTTTATTATTATTATTGTTTGAGATTAAATATTCTGATTCACAACGGTCATTATAAACTCGATGTTGGTTCGTTATTTTTCGTTTCTGTGAAGACATATTTCACGGAGTATTTCACTTAAAAACGCTTTAGAGTTGCTGTGTACTGATACGCACTAGCACTAGAACAAAACTGTCTGTCCCGCTTGATTCAACCTTCGTATGCAGGGTGTTTCAGTTTATTGTTGCATAACTTTAAGATTCGATAGAACTTTTAAAATTAATGCATAAAGTCTATATAAACATGGGTCGAAAAATGCGTAGCTTCCGAAATACAGGGTGTTTAAATTTACTTTCTAAAATAGTTTTTTTTTAAATATTTCGAACAATATTTGATGTATAACAGTGAAAATTGGTATACAAGGGTTTTTTGGTACGACAAAACGAACCATGGGCATAGTTTTACTGTAGCCACTAGAGGGCGCTCTCTACTGTACCAGTAGTGTATTAAAATGTCCGAAAAGTTAGTATTGTTGTCTGTTGAAACCTGAAACGTTTTTTTGCAATTGTGAATGCACGAAATTTAGTTTCTTTCACCTGTTTTTTTGTAAGTTTTATAAAAATGCCATTTTTATTCTCCAATCAAGAGTTAGCGGATATTCATTTTGTGTATGGCTTTGTAAATGGAAACGCAGCAGAAGCAGCCAGAGAATACGCACGAAGATTTCCAAATAGACGACATCCAACTCGCTCAGTATTTGCAAGAGTGCATCGCCAAATAATTGAAAATGGTTTTGGAAATCTCCAAAGGGATCAAAACATAAATGTTCGTCAGCGCAGATTTACCCGTATGATTCTGCGTGAGTTTGATAGAGATCCGACCACAAGTGTTAGGATAGTTTCTGGTGCCCTGGGAATTTCAGCAAGCCATGTTCACCGTGTTCTTAGAAATGACCATAGACGTCTTTACCATTTGCAACCTGTGCAAGGACTACAGCCAGGGGATGGAGAACGAAGAATTACATTTTGTCAGTGGATTCTTGATAGAACTGATAATAATAAGGAGTTTTTAAGTAACGTTCTATGGACCGATGAGTCATGCTTCACTAGACGTGGAGTGGTAAATTTTTATAATCAACATATTTGGTCGCATGAAAATCCGCATTCAGTTCGGGAAAGAAATTTTCAGCAAGAATTTAGTGTGATCGTGTGGATTGGTCTCTACCGTAATCGACTATTTGGACCCTACCTTTTGTCTGCAAGGTTAAATGCTGCAACCTTCTTGAAATTTTTAAAGGCTGAACATGCAAATATGTGGGATGATGTTATGTTAGATTTAAGAAGATTGGCCTGGTTCCAGCTTGATGGTTGTCCAGCTCATTATTCGAGAATAGTTAGAAACTGGCTGGACGAAAATTATCCAGAAAGATGGATCGGCCGTGGAGGACCAGTCGCCTGGCCTCCACGATCCCCTGACCTAAATCCATTAGATTTCTTTGTGTGGGGAATTTTAAAAGAAAAAGTATACCAGACTCCCGTAACCACAAGAGATATGCTAATAGACAGAATCAGGAATGCATGTGATGAAATAAGGCCTTATTTGAATAATGCTATACCACGTTCGATCATTCGTAGATGTGAATTGTGTATTGAACAATTGGGTTTACATTTCGAGCATCTACTTTAGATTTTGTATGTTTGTCCTAACTATCCAATAAATAATTAATTTAATTTGTTAAAAATAATATTGGAAAATTAAACAAATTAATATTCTGTTTTTTTGTGTTTATTTGGTGTTAGGAATTATTGATGTGTTCAAAAACACAATCTAAATGATCATCTTAATTACTTGTAATGGCCAAATCGAAAATGTAAAAAAAATATTATTTTCCCATAAATAATTAAAAATGCATCGAACCTTAAAAATCCAAATATATCAATAACGGCTAACTATAACGAAAACTCACAAGACACCTTTTTTATGTTTAAAAGTGCGAAGAATAAGTTTTTTTATTCAAAAAGCAAAAAATTGCACAAAAAAAAAATTTCCGGTCATTTCAATACACTACAGGTACAGTAGAGAGCGCCCTCTAGCGGCTACAGTAAAACTATGCCCATGGTTCGTTTTGTCGTACCAAACAACCCTTGTATACCAATTTTCACTATTATACATCAAATATTGTTCGAAATATTTAAAAAAAAACTATTTTAGAAAGTAAATTTAAACACCCTCTATTTCGGAAGCCACGCATTTTTCGACCCATGTTTATATAGGACTTTATGCATTGATTTTAAAAGTTCTATCGAATCTTAAAGTTATGCAACAATAAACTGAAACACCCTGTATAATAATAATAGGCTTTTATTCGGAACATATGTACAAAATAATCAGTATACGTCGTGTGAAATATATTTTACATAACTTCACGTTGCTAACAAAATTACCCACGATAAGTTATGTAACTTTGTTTTCAGTGGTATTGAAGCCGATCGCGGTTCCTTTTTAACGATTCGTTTAGCGTCGACCCAGCTCTTTCCTCGCTCCTTACCAGCCTCTCGCACATTTAACATAACATAGTAACTGCTACGGCCTGTTAAATTAATCTCACTTACGGAGATTATGAGGTGTAATCTCGTACACCTCTGAAAGATCAAAGGCGGCGATGCAGGCGGCGCGTAATTTAAATTTCTGCGTTCATTTGGCGCGCATACCGACATCCCAAAAAGCTATTCGTCTCATGGCAGTGATTGCGAAATTAGTCGAAAAATCGCTCGGTCACATATAAATCTTTCGCCTCTGTGCGTTGTAAATGGCAAATAATTCGCATATATGAATTTGATCATCGAGATAGTATCTAGAGAGAAGCTATTAGAATATATTGTGTATATCGGAGGTCTAGTGACAATCATCAAGATTTTGATATCAGCGGGTCTACTAAGACAGTGGTCGCCCACCTTTTCAGTGTGTTGAGGTACTTTGATAATTTTGGAATAAGCAGTGAGATACCTGGTCGTAAGCAATGAAAGATCAGTTAAATGAAATTATACACAGTTGTATGCGACATACAATACATATGTTTATTTTGCTAATACTAGTACATACTAATAAACATAAATAAACTAATAACTAAATACATTCATACCTACTAATCGTACTCATACATAACAAACATACATTTTTACCTTTAACATCTGTAAAGCAATATTGTTCTTTCCATTTCCAAAAACTGTCCATCGTACAAATATTATCAGGACCAATAAAACTTAAGGATACTTTTTTAAAATTCAAGTTCATCTTTTACTACTCCTATCTCTAAAGAGGACCTAAAAATGTCAGTAAATAAATACATTAATGATTTCCAAATTCCAAGTATTGCAACAAATATAGCACAAAACGTCGATTAACTTAATTTATGTACACAAAATTCTGATGCAAAATTTCGAATTTTTAATATGAACATAAGGAGTATAAAACACAACATTGATTAGTTAAAAATACTACTCGACCAAATATGGTACAATTTTGATCTAATAGTTTTAACTGAAACGTGGCAAGTGGCTGATATTTCTTGCTTCAATCAGCAGGGATATGACACGCTGTATAACTTTGGCACTTATAACCAAAACAATGGGGTGATAGTTTTTGTAAGAAATAAACTGCAATATAATCATGATACATTCACTTTCACCGATGGAATCAAAATTTTAAACATAATGATCCAAATTAACCATAACAAAATTGAGGTATCTGCAATTTATCGTCCGCCATGTTCAGAACCCCACGAGTTTTTAAAGAATATCTAATTTTTTTTTTCAAAATCAAAATAAAGTTCATTTAAAGCAACATATTTTCTTGGGAGATGTCAATATAAATATTTTGGACGATGATCCCATCACAAATGAATACTTGAATATCCTATCAAGTAACGGATTTCTGTCCTATATAAACCTACCTACAAGGTCCATCAGTGGCACATGTATAGATCACTGCTTTGTGAAAGACCTATCCAACAAAATTACTTGTATACCAATAATCCTAGAAAGCGATATTACTGACCACTTCTCCACTATTTTACTGATATCTTCAAATGAAAAACATTCTAACATCCCTACCGTTAGTAACAACCAGGAAAATTTCAAATTTTTTGTCGACAATTCAAAACTAATATCAAATGTCAAACAAGAATCCTGGGAACAATTATACTCTATAAATAATATAGACAAAGCAACGGTACTGTTCATAGAGAAAATAAAAAAACTAATAGATATTAGTACCAATAAAGTAATAATTAGTCACAAAGAGAAAAACAGAAATGCCTGGATTACCAAAGGATTAATAACATCGGCAATAGAAAAAGAAAGACTATATAATGTAATGAAACTAACGCCAACTACGGAGAATACCGACTGCTACAACCAATATAAAAATAAATTTATAGAGCTTGTAAGGCAAACCAAACGAAAACATTACCTAAATAAATTGAATAATAACTTAAATGATCCTAAGCGGCTTTGGACAACTATTGATGAGATTACTGGGAAAACAAAAGTTAAAGAGTGTGTCACTGAGTTAAATACAACATCGGGAACAGTATTAAAAAATACTCAACAGATATGCGATGAATTTGTACAATTCTTTACTGACATAGGCGAAAATTTAGCAAGTAATATACAAGCAAATGTACAAAATACTCAGCCTCCAATAAGAACTTTGAACTCATTTATTTTGGATAAAGTCGAGCAATGTGAAGTATACACCACTGTTATGTCCTTAAAAAATCGGAAAAGTCCTGGGTTCGATGGTATTAAAGGCGAGCATTTGAAAATTATAGCCGAGGACATAACAGAACCACTCACTTACCTAATCAACAAATGCTTTGAATCTGGCATATATCCCTCAATTTTAAAAACAGGTAATATAATACCGATACATAAATCAGGAACAAAAACAGATGTTAACAACTATAGACCAATATCAATAATATCCAGTGTAGCAAAGGTTTTTGAAAAAGTTTTATCTACTAGAATGATTCGATACCTCACAAAATTCAAAATTTTAAGTGAAAATCAATATGGATTTACAGAAGGGAAGGCTACATCGGACGCAATAACTAAAATTG